CAGGACCGCCGCCGCCTGAGGACACCGCCCGGAGCCGCTCCGTCCCGCGCCGGAGAAACCCTAGAGGGGGAAGGGCTGGGGGCCGCCGCCACCAACGCCGCCCGGGCGAGGCCCTAGGCGGGCGCCGGCGACAGCGGCGGGGAGGAGGAGGGGGGGGACGCGCGCGGGGACGGAGGGAAGACGCGGCCGGCCGCCCGCGGGGGCGGCGCGGTCGCGGACCATGAGTAGTCAATTCAAAACTCACAGCCCATTCAATTTCGAGTGTGTTTGTTTTCTGCAACTAGCGAATTGGCGATCAAAGCAGCCCCATTATAGATACTCATCAAATCCACGAGAAACAACTGGATATGAAACTAATGGAGGCGATCAAGAAAAATGCACTGTTTTCTCCCTTCCTTGCATCTTGTTTTGTCGTTCCTATAAAACAACCATATTCTCATAGGACGAAACCTTTACAGACGGAATACCTTCTTGCCAGACATACAGTGGTCACCGCCTCGCCATGGCTCGCACAAACGTTTTTTTTTTCTCGCAACTGCATAGTTTGATTTGTTCAATCGCATATTGTAGCTAAGAAAAAGGTGGCATATTCAGATTTTTGGTGTGTACTGGATTATTCATCACACATATGAAAGTTGTGAGCCATGGGAACGATCATGTGAATTGTGAGGAGTGATCTAGGTAAAAATATTATCTATTTGAAGAAACATATCTCTACCCACTGCATTATTTTCATGGCTAGAGGCAGCATTTTCTTTTCGTGGCAGCGGTGGTTGCTCTCCACTGTACTGTATAACGCCTGCTACAAAGGCATCTGAAATGTTAGATTTTGGCCAGTTCTGAACAACAATGCACCATAGTATTTCTAACGTTGTATTCATGTTATTTTGTACCATTCTCAACAAACATTTTATTCCCTCTAGAAAAAAGTGTCCATTATATGATTAATCGGATACATGACACCAGAGTTATCTGACAAATATCAAATATCCCTTTGTTATTGCAAATGTATTTTTTTTCATTTCATAGTAGATAACTATAGAGTTGACATACAGTTGTTATGCTTTTGCTTAAGATTTTGTTGGCACCTACGGGTTATTTTTTCTACTTAACTAGCAAACTGGTGGGCTAGAATATATAAAGTTCAATGATGAGAATATTTTAGTTGACTTGTCTAAAGAAATTTGTAACCAAATGTGGCGACATTACAAATATAAGGCTTTTGCAAACATTGTTTTGTCTTAGGTATGGTTGATTTTAATCGATGTATAATTATATCCATTATCCATTTATCATTTACTAGCTAATTATGCATGCATACTAACTGTTTTTTTATGATCAGTAGCATTGTGCGAATTATATTTGTATCATTCGGGCAATGTATAAACTTATTTTATTTTAATTGAATCATTTTCATATGCTAACAATATTAAAATTTCATATATTGAGTCTTTTAGCTGGCTATAATGAATTATGAATTATTATTTTCTTATGTACAAAGAACCAAATTTGCTGCTTCAAGTTTAATTTTGTAGATCCAAATTTAATATTCCCTACTTCATAAAAATTATACTTAATTTTTGAAAAATCATTACTTTCAGCTTGGGATGCTAAAATAATAATTTTCCATGAAAAAATAATCCTACCCTAGATAAGATTCCAACACGCAAATGGGTTTGTTATTCATCCCAGGAGAATGTGCTCCTTGGAGCCATTTGCCAA